GTCTTATTTAGCATTGAAAAATATCATGAATTATGTATTATTTAAAAATATCAAGAATTATTTATCATTTAAACATATCAAGTTTTATTAGCATTGAAAAATATCATGAATTATGTAGTATTTAAAAATATCAAATATTGTAATATTCAATCAAGTTTTCGATCAAGTAATTGTTTTTTATTGGTTGTAATGATTATAAGGTAAGTATTATGGATCATGCAAAACATCAAGTAAATAAGTAGCTTTGTCAAGTCAAATTTCCATTTATTTGTTGTTTTTTTATTCACCAACTACATTTATTTGTTTTAATTATTCACCCATTACAATTCATTTCATTCTATTATCAATATGGTGGTTAATTATGTATTCTGCGCGGTGGGATACACAATTAACCATTCAGCTCTAATATATTCACCCACTACATTTATTTGTTGTTTTTTAATTCACCCATTACATTTCATTTCATTTCATTCTATTATCAATATGGTGGTTAGTTATGTATTCTGCGTGGTGGGATACACAATTAACCATTCGGCTCTAATATACTCACCCATTACATTTCATTTCATTCTATTTAAAAATATTATCAAAACATAAAATCAATTATTTAAAATATCAAGTATCATTTATCACATAAACATATCAAGTCTTATTTAGCGTTCTATTATCAATATGGTGGTTAGTTATGTATTCTGCGTGGTGGGATACACAATTAACCATTCAGCTCTAATATACTCACACACTACATTTCTTTGTTGTTTTTTTAATTCACCCATTACATTTCATTTCATTCTATTATCAATATGGTGGTTAATTATGTATTCTGCGTGATGGGATACATAATTAACCACTCGCCTCTAATATACTAACATCCCGTGGTAGAGCTGGAAACATTCTTTACAAAGAGTGGCTAATAGTATAAAAAAATATAAATAAATAGATTATAAAAGCATATCATCAAAAAAAAAAAAATATTATCAAAACATATCGAGGGTTTTTTAGCATTAAGACATATAAAAGATTTTTAAAGCATTAAAACTATCGAGGATTTTTTTATAAATTTATTATCATTATACACATTCAAGAATATACAATTGAATAGGATCATTCAATAATATCAAGATTTATTATATAATAATTATAATATAAGTATTTTATTAATTATAATTATAAAGTAATTATTTTTTTGGATCATTAAACTATCAAGTATTGTTTTACATTCAAGAATATTAAATATTATTTATCATTAAAAATTATCAAGTACTGTGTAATATTCATAATATATCAAATATTATGTATAATTAAAAATATCAAGTATTATATAGCATACAAATATATAAACTATATTTTAATCATTAAAATATATCAAGGATTTTTTAGCATTAAAACTTATATATGATTTTTTAGCATTTAATTATAATTCAACTATAATTTATTTTTTTTTTATAAAATTTATTATCATTATACACATTCAAGAATATACAATTGTATTTGATCATTTAATAGTATCAAGATTTATTGTATAATAATTATAATATAAGTATTTTATTGGATCATTAAAAATTATCAAGTATTGTGTTACATTCAAAATATATCAAATATTATGGATCATTAAAAATATTATCAAAACATTTCAAGGATTATTAGGCATTAAAATATATCAAAGATTTTTAGTATTTAAATGTTATAATTCATCTATATAATTTTTTTTTATTTTGATACCATAATTTATTATCATAATACACATTCAATAATATCAAGTTTTATTGTATAATAATTATAAAATTTATTCTCATTATACACATTCAAGAATATACTAGTGGATTGGATCACTACATTTATTTTTTTGTTTTTTATATTCACTCTTTTCTTTTGTTTTTTTTTTTACTCTTTTCATAAATTTATTTGTTTTTTTATTTTTTCACTCTTTTCATTCCATTTAATCAACTCTCTATAGGTATTTTGATTACATAGATACTGAGTTGGGCCATAAAATTATTTTTTTTCATTATACACATTCAGGTAAGTGGTGGTTAATTATGTATTCTGCGTGGTGGGATACACAATTAACCATTCAGCTCTAATATACTCACACACTACATTTCTTTGTTGTTTTTTTAATTCACCCATTACATTTCATTTCATTCTATTATCAATATGGTGGTTAATTATGTATTCTGGGTGGTGGGGTACATAATTAACCGCTAATATATAAAAACAATTCACAAATATATACATTCAGGTAAGTGGTTAATTATGTATTCTGCGTGGTGGGATACATAATTAACCACAAATATATAAACATTTCACACACTACACTTCACTTCACTCTATTATCAATATGGTGGTTAATTATGTATTCTGCGTGGTGGGATACATAATTAACCATCGGCTCTAATATACTAACCTCCCCGTGGTTGAGCTGGAAACACTCTTTACAAAGAGTGGCCAATAGTATAAAAAATAAAAAATAATTAAAAATATTATCAAAATATCTCGAGGATTTTTTAGCATTAAAACATTAAAGCTATCTTTTTATTGGATCAAAATAATTATTTTAGATTATTAAAGCAAATCATTAAAAAAAAAAAAAAAATATTATGGATAATTAAAAATATCAAGTATTATTGAGCATATAAATATATCAACTATTGTTTATCATTAAAATATAATCAAGGATTATCCAGCATTAAAAAATATCAAGAGTTAATATATATTATCAAAACATATCGAGGATTATTTAGAATTAAAATATATCAAGGATTTTTTAGCATTTAATTATTATAATTCAACTATAATTATTTAATAAAATTTATTATGATTATACACATTCAAGTGGATCTTTCAATAATATCAACATTATTTGTATAAGGTAATTATTTTATTAGATCATTAAAACATATCAAATATTGTGTAACATTCAAGAATATATAATGGATCATTAAAAACTATCAAGTTACACAATACTTTGAAAAAAAGTGAAGATACCAGCACCAACAAGAAACAAGTGTTTTAAAAAAATTTAGCTTTCAAACTCAAAACATCATTTGCATTAAGTACAAGTTAAATTTTTTTACAACCATTCATTCAGCCCAATCAAGTCAAGTCACTTTTTTCAATATATTTGTATATGTTTAATTATTTATACTGCCTGAATGTATAAATAATTAACCATTCGGCTCTAATATACTAACCTCTCCATGGTAGAGCTGGAAACACTGTTTACAAAGAGTGGCTAATAGTATAAAAAAATATATATAAAATAAATAAAATAATGGTAGTATCATTTTATTATCTTTTAAAATTAATTATAAAATCATAAAAATTTTTTTATTGTATTTTCTTTATAATTATGGTTTTAAATTGGTCTTTTAACTCAAATGATATATCAACTAATTAACCACAACACCCAAGCCAATTAAATAATTTCAATTATTCCTTACGAATCGACCTCAACACCCAAGCCAATAAAAGTAATCAAAATATTTCATTAAAAAATAAAAAATTAAACCTAAAAGAAAACAGGATCCTAAACTAGCCAGGGACTAGTCTATCATATTTAAAGTAGTGGTATTTCACCGTTGGCCAAAGCCTCCCACCTATCCTATACCTTTATTGATAAAAATTGCTGTAAGAATCCTTGATAGATTGGTTGAAAGAAAAGTTTTATATTATCTTTTTTTAAAAAAAATAAAATTTATGGTATATAATGTTAAATCAAAATTTTATTTCTATTAAATTTAATAAAAAAAAAAATCTTTTTTTAAAAAATATTTTTTAATAAATATCTTTTTAAAAAAATTATTTTAAAAGTGTAATGTGAAGGAAGGAAAATATATTAAAATAACAATTTTTACTTATTATTTATTTAAATTAAAAAAAAAAAAAAAAATGAATATGTGTTGTATAATTTAAATTATTTTTTATTAAGATTTTAAAATTTTTAAAAGGCAACAAAATTATCTAATAATAAATTTTTTCTGTTATCTTGGTTCTTGAAACGATTTAATAAAATTGATTTACCTCTATCAGCACCAGAAAGGAAAGAGTGATTTAAGAGCATTTCGGGTGTTGGTCTTTGGAATGGATCAGAGTTTAAGCAAAGATTAAGGAAATCAACAAACTCTTTTGTATATTTCTTTGGGTTTGGTAATTTGTAATCATGAATAGCAGTATAGAATAAAGCTTTTAATGATGAATCCTTACCATATGGCACAGTTCCTTCAGCCATTTCAATTAACAAACAACCCAAACTATAGATATCAGCTTGAGTGTCATATGGTTCCCTTCTGATAACCTCTGGAGCAATTCTACCCATGGTACCACACATTCTTGTTCTTCCACGACCTAAACTGCAAGTAGTAGCTAAACCAAAATCGGCAATTTTAACTTTACCTTTACGAGTTAAAAGAATATTACGAGATTTGATATCTCGATGAATAATACCTTTTGAACGGAGATATACCAAACCCTCTAAAAGCTCTTCAGTGATATAAGCGATAAGTGTTTCTTCTAATGGTACACAATTATTTGAACTTTGGTTAGATTGATGGTTTTTCCAATCTTGTTGTAAAAGATCTCTTACTGTGCCACCATCGCAATACTCCATAATAATCCAGAGATGACCTTTACATAAATAACTTTCAATATATGATACAATATTTGGGTGATTACAAGCACTGTGAATATAAAGTTCTGGGATTATTGGACTTCCTTTTTTAGTTCTTTCCATTAAAACTTTAATTGCTACTGGTTTACCATCTGATTTTCTAACTGCATAAAATACATTACCAAATGCACCTGTACCTAATTTAATTTTATCTTTAAACAATGCTAATGGTGAACCACTCGAAAATATTGATTCATCACATCTTGATAAAGGTGGCGGATTAACTGTAGTTTTTACTATACTACTTGGTATATATTTTGAAACTGGTTTTAATTGAATATTATTTTGATCATTATTATTACTATTATTATTATTATTATTATTATTATTATTATTTTTATTTCTATTATTATTATTACCATTATCATTAATTTGACTATTAAATGATTCTTCATCTTCTAAATTTAAACTTACTAATGATATAGTTGCTCTTCTTGTTGGAGCTTTACTAGGTAAAGTTACTTTCCATGATGAGTTTTTAGTTGGTGAAATTTGATTATTATTCATACTGATGTTTAAATTTGAAGGTTTAAAGAAATTATTTCCACCGCTACTAAATTTTAAAGTATTATACTTTGGTTGTGAGTTTGTATTATATGGTGTAATTATAAATGATCCTCTATCTAATTTTGATGTACGATGAGCTGATGGTAGTAATGGTTGTTTATTATTATTATTATTATTATTATCTTCATCATAATCATCGCCACCACTTAATAACTGTAACTGCTGATTTAACTTTTGCTTATGTTTATTTTTTTTATTGGATCTATAATAATTGGGTGGAATTGGTTGGTTTGGGATTGTATCTTTTGTAAGGAAGAAAATTGAGTTCCAAGCAATTTCAAAATTTTTCATAATTTCTTCTTCACTGAGACCACTCATTCTAACATAAACCTGAAGTTTTGGTGGCATACTCTTTAAAGTTTTTTGTTGTGATAAAAGTGATTCTGCATCATCTCTTTTACTGACAAATGATTCTACTTTAATTAATTGGTCCTTTAATTCATTGTAAATTGGGAAGAAAGTAATTTCTTTTGATCTACATAATACAGAAATACTATTGATAGCTTTGTATTGAATTGCTTGAGTCGAGTTTAAACATAATGATACAGCCCCCTCAAGTGATGGATTAATTCCCCTATAAATAGATCTTGATAATGTGGTTAAATATTCATCAACTGCATTTAGGTCCTCCTCTTCTTTTTCAATGGTCTCCTCTTCATCCAATTTAATAGTTAATTGAACATCTAAAGCTCTGCCCCAGTTCTCTAAAACTTTGGATTTAAAGTAGTCATTAAAAATTTCATTTTGGAAAAAGTATTGCTGTTGTGATTTTTGTTGAGGGGTTAATTCCGTATTGATTAAAAACTGTTGTTGTTGTAATTGTAATTGATCTTGTTGCATTTTCTTTAAATTTTCGGCTTGTTCTATTGAAATTACAATTGGTAAATCATCTTGAAGTGATTCCATTAAGGTTTCATAATAAATTTTACAAGAAGTAGTAATTAAACCATAGATTGTTTCTTTTTTACCACCAAATTGATTTAATGTTATTGAATGTCTGTGGTATGATGCTGCAAGGTGATATTGAGTAATTAATGATGGTGATAATTTATTACTCATTAAAAGAGATTGTATAGATTGAGCATGTAAAACCTTCCAAAGTTCCTCAACTTGAATATTCTCTTCACTTGTCCATTCCGACATTAAAAATTGACTTTTCATTCTTCTGGAATATCTACTTAAAGCTATGCCCCATTTTCTTAATGCAATTGGTAATTGATATGAATTTTTAAAATTATTATTCAATTGTTGTTTAAAGATTAATTGAATTGACTATAAAAAAATTATTATTAATAATTTTAAAAAAAATATTTTAAATATTTATAAAATCTTACTTTAAAATATTTTTCACAAGTTGCCTTATACATTGGTAATTCTAAATAAGTACAGAGTAAAAACAAACAATCACCCCATTTCATCCATAAAATTGGGTCACTCCATGGTGAATTTGGATCTTCTGATGGTGGTGTGGGTGGTGCTGGTAATTGTGATAGTGATCTTAAAACTTTACTTTGAATATTTTCATCATTACTATTTTTTAAACTTTGTTGTGATGATGGGGATGTTGATAAATTATTATTATTATTATTATTATTATTATTACAGTTTTGGTTATTTAAAATTAAATTATATTGTTCTTCCAAGTTAAAATTTAATAAAGTTGAAAATGGTATATTTAATAAATTTGAACCACCAGATAATTGCAAAGAATGTTGATATTTTCCACAAACATCGAATAAAGGTTCTTTTAAAAGATATGATTGTAATGAATCTGAGAAAGGTGATGTTGAAGTATTGGTAGAATTTGATTGACTATTTTGAGGAATTGGTAAGAGCTCTTCATTCCAATCTAATAAACAGACATCGACATGTTTACCACCCAATTGTTGCTTTATATTTTTATATATTAAACTACCCCATTTAATAAGTGCTTTGAAATCTTTTGGATTTTGCTCAAGCTGTAATCTATATTTACACTCCAAACCAATATCTACCATTAGTGGTCTTTGGAAACTATTTCTGTTTTGTTCACTGTTTGAACTCTCTGAAGTTGATAAATCTGATTGTAATGATGCCGATAAATGTGCCTCTTCTTTTTTTTCATCAACTATATGGGTTGGTCTTGTTACTGCAGTTGTAGTGGCACTGGTGGTAGTTGTGGTTGTGGTGGTTGGTACATTGGTTTTATTTAGTGGTGACTCCTTCTTAATTAAATCTACAACATCAAGAATATTAATTTCTTTATTACTACTAATGCTTGATGATAACTCATATCTTTGTTGATATTTTGAAAGTTCGTCTTGTTCTATTTTATTTTTAATATTATTAGCTTTGTTAGTATTATTATCATTATTATTATTATTATTATTATAATTATTAAATTTATTTAAGTTATTTTGATTACTAAAATGATTTTTATTTCGATTAATATAAATCATTTTATTATTAATATAATTTTTATAAAATAAACAAACAAATAATTTTTTGAACAAAAAAAAAAAAATGATGATAAAAAAATTTTTTTTTGTTGAATTTAAAAAAAAAAAAAAAATAAAAAAAAAAAAAAAACAATTATTTAAAAAAAAACAAATAAATAAATAAATTTGGTATATAGTATACTATAATAAATAATAATAATTTATTATGCAAATTTGAAAAACAATTAAGCTTTTACCCCAATTACCCCCATCAAACTAAAATGTTATATTTTTAAACACACAAAAAAAAAACAAAAAACACACATACTATATTTTATTTATCTTTTAAATATTGGCATATATAAAAAATTTTCAAATAAAATACAAACACACACACATTAATATATAAAACACAATAGATTTAGTGAGATTTGACTAAATAAGTGTTTATTTTTATAATGATATTAAAATAAAACCCACTTTAAGATATATAAATAAAAAAACTATGTTGGGTTTCTTTTTTTTTTGAATAACTATTCCAGTAAAAACTTACAAAAAAAAAACTTGATGATGGAAATAAATGATGATATATAAAAAAAAAAAAAGAATGAAACAAAACGGAAAAGAAAAAAAAAAAAGAGGGGGGAAATACTAGCAAAGAAAAAAACTTACCTTTATTTACAATTTTATTTTCATGTTTATATTGATCGTCATTGTCATCGTCATCATCATCCTCCTCCTCATCGTCATTGTCGTCGTCATCATCATCGTCATCATCATAGTTGAGTGGCTTTAAAGGTGGCGATGCTTGAGGTGGTGTGGCTGTACCAACTAAATCTAAATGATTTTCTGGAATCGATGGGTCTGGTAATAATACACTATCACATGAATCAGCTGTTGTTGTTGTTGATATATTTACAATATTATTTGAATTTAAAACTTTATTTGAATATCTTTCTCTAATACTCTTCTTTCTCTCTACTTTAACATTGCCTGTTTCTTTGCTACTATCATCATTATCATTATTATTATTATTATTATTATTATTATTATTATT